ATGCCCACAAGTAAACGCAATGGGATATCAGCACACAACAACAAAGCATGCACAGAATCCTACACCACCGTGGAAAGGACGCCCACAGTCGCAATCCACTTCAAGAAACGATTGCTACTACTGCAGGCGGTTTGGTAAGCTTGCTAGGAGTTGTGGTCACAATGCAGGTGAGTCACATGTCGATATGAATTGTGTGCCTACTGTAAACCTAATCGGTGTCACCTCCTCCCCGAAAGTTGTAGGTTATATAGGTGGAAAAAAGTGTGTTATGTTAGTTGACTCAGGAGCAACTTGTTCTGTCGTACATTCCTCATGTGTTCCAGAGACGTTTAGGCGAACAATAGGGACTCACAATTTGCGGCTTACGACAGCCAATGGAGATTGCATGCAATCCCAGGGACTGGTCCTGCTGCCACTTAAATTGGGAACACTGTCACTTCAACACAATTTCATCATCTCTACCCGGGTGCCGTGGCAGGTAATCTTGGGAGTCGACCTCCTGGAAAAGCTGTCCGGAATAATAGATTGTAGTCAGAGGACTCTTATACTGAAGGACTGTTCCATCCCATTTATTGTAGGGAACGACAAAGAGCACGGCACTTTTGGCGTGCAGGGAGATGCTAAGAATGAGAAACAGCGAATGCTGACGACTATAGAACCCCTACCATCGGAAACGGCTGCCAACTTTAATAAAATGCTAGACAAATATGAGGACTGTTTTGACTGGGATGGAAAAAGCCCGGGAAGAACAAAACTGGTCCAACATCACATAGAAACGGGTAACGCCCCACCTTGTAGACAACCTGCACGGCGAGTACCTGCACATTACCAGAAGGAGCTTAACAGGTTAGTTGATGAACTGTTAGAGAAAAATGTCATCAAACCATCCGTATCTCCATGGGCTTCACCGGTAGTTTTAGTTAAGAAATCGAATGGGACACTCCGGTTATGTGTAGATTATCGTAAGTTGAACCTGTTAACTAGACGAGACTGCTTTCCCCTTCCACGCATAGACGACACTTTTGATGCCTTAGAAGGGTCGAATTGGTTTACCACTCTAGATCTGGCATCGGGATATTGGCAGGTTGAAGTACACCCAGATGACAGGCAAAAGACAGCATTCATTGTACAAGCAGGCCTGTATGAGTTTGAAACAATGCCGTTTGGGTTAGTCAATGCCCCAGCAACATTCCAACGCCTCATGCAAACGGTCTTGAGTGATTGCATACCAGGTAAGTGTTTGGTATATCTAGATGATGTTATCATACATAGTAAGACGTTGACCGAACATTTAAGTGATATTTCCGAAGTATTAGAACGGATGCAGACCGTTGGGTTAAAACTGAACCCATCGAAATGTCAATTCTTCAGGAAAGAAGTGTGTTTCTTAGGTCACATTGTTTCAGCCGAAGGCATTAAATGTGATCCAGCAAAAGTTCAGGAAGTTAAAGACTGGCCGCTCCCAAACTCAGCCCCCGAGTTACATAGTTTTTTAGGGTTAGCCTCGTATTATCGACGTTTTGTACTTAACTTCTCTTTCCTTGCAGCTCCTCTATTCGACATTCTTAAGAAGAAAGACTACAATTGGACAGCATCAGCTACGGAAGCCTTCGAAAGACTTAAAAACTGTTTATGTAGCCCCCCTATCCTAGCGTATCCCAATGTTTCTGACCAGGCAGGTCCATTCATCCTAGATACAGATGCTAGCGACTCTGGTATCGGGGCAGTTTTGTCTCAAAAAGACGCAGATGGAGTAGAAAAGGTGATAGCCTATGCAAGTCGAGCACTCAACAAGAGTGAGAAGAATTACTGCACCACGCGGAAAGAAATGCTGGCACTGGTCAATTTTGTTAAACACTTTAGGGCATATCTCCTCGGTAGACATTTCATTGTACGCACTGATCACAAAGCCCTTAGCTGGCTACATAACTTCAAAGAAGCTGAGGGTCAGATTGCCAGATGGCAAGAACACCTACAAGAGTATGACTTCGAATGCATGCATAGACCGGGTAAGAATCATGGAAATGCAGATGCATTGTCAAGAAAACCTCTTAGGTATCACGGTGACTGCCCATCATGCACCGAAGCACAAGTTTCGCTGCTCCAACTAGAGGCTCATACTTCATATAGTTGGCCTGAACTTCAGTCTTCAGACCCTGAACTGGCCTTGATTTACGAACGTGTTCGAAATGGAGGCGAACGACCGACAACCCAGGAAATAAGTAAGCTTGGATGGGAAACCCGGTGTTTATGGTCTCTGTGGGATAATCTGAAAATTGTCGATGACATCCTCTACTACCAACATGGACCCACTTATACTCGTCGCGTTGTGGCTCCACAGTCGGCACTACCCACAGTACTATTGTCATTACACCAGCAGTTAGGCCACGCGGGCTCAGGGAAAATGATTGAAGCGGCTAAAAGACGTTATTGGTGGCCTCACCAGAGGAAAGACATCATAGATTTCTGTGACTCCTGCGAGGTATGCCAAACTATTAAGGCTCCGCACAAATATAATAAGGCACCCTTAGAACCCATTATAACTGGCCATCCGAATGACTTAGTACAAATAGACTTGGTTGGACCTCTCCCAGTAACTTCCAGAAATAATAACTATATTTTAGTCATGGTAGACCATTTTACCAAATGGTGCGAGGCTATTGCGATACCACAGATTGATGCTGTAACCATCGCAGAGTCAATTTTTGACCACTGGGTCAGCCGTTGGGGGGCACCACTTCAACTGCATTCAGATCGAGGATCCAACTTTGAAAGTATCGTTGTCAGCGAACTCTGTCGTATAATGGGTATCCGGAAGACACGCACTACCGCGTACCACCCACAGGGAAATGGCTTGGTTGAACGCACCAATCGGACACTTAAATCCCTCTTGCAGGCATTTGTAGATCAAAACAACCCCAGGGAATGGGACCGATCACTCTCACAGTGCTTAATGGCATACAGAGCAAGCATTCACAAAGCTACGCGTCAAACGCCTCATTATATGGTCACTGGAAGAGAACTCCGGTTGCCAATCGATCTGACTTCAAACACACTAGGAGAGGATACACTGATTGCATCCGAACACGTAATCAGACTTCGACGAAACTTGAACAAGGTACATCAGATGACTAGGGGTATACTCCAAACGAACCAGAGGTACCAGAAAGAATACTATGATAGGAAAGCACATGGATCACCAGTGGAGCCAGGAGACCAGGTGATGCTACTTAAGGAGGCACCACCTAAAGGGAAAGCTCTTAAATTCCATAAACGCTGGGAAGGACCATTCACTGTAGTAGAGGTACTAAGTGACTGCACCTGTAGGATTCAGGAACCGAATTCCTCTCATAGTCTAGTCGCACACTTCAATAGACTAAAACCTTTTCGACAACAGGCCTTAGTTCAGACAAGTCCCGCAAGAACAGTCACTTAGCACTGCGGACAGTGCTCATATGGGAGAGGGGGTAGTGTAAGGCATGGTAAGTTTGGCGGTTTTCTAATGTTCAAACCATGCTTGTCTACTTTCAGGTTGGCTGCGAAGTATGCAGGGATTGGTTACCCAAGACGAGGCAACGGATGACCAATAGGAGTGCCCCTTCCCTCTTATCTAATTGTATCGCGATTGGTTGTAAATATAATACTTGACCTTGAGTCTTCGTTCTTACTAGCACGCAACACTTGTGTGATCACGCTGCTAACGTGCGCTTTGCTCCCTGTTTCGGATCATTGCTTGACGAGTGGGATTACACGCCTCTTCCTCACCTTCCTTCGTCAGTTGTGACTGTGGTCAGTGTGTGTTACATGTCGTTCGCAGTGTAGAAATGTGAAATAACATGGTTGAAGCAGTGGTGACTCTAAAGAATAGCAGCACAAACCGAAACAACCTTCGAACAAAAAAGCCGAGGAGTTATGTATATACAATAATACACATGCAATTGATGGCTTTGTATACAGATGTATTGAGTGGCGAAGGAGGAAGTCGGTTCGAGAAGGTCTGTCGTTGTTTTTTAGTTTACATACGCATCCCTTGGGACGCTATTGTTGAACTTTTCCTCCTTAGGAACTTTTTCTCAAGGTTTAAACTACCTTTAACGAAAGTTTTAATGATCGGTAACTTCTGAGTCCTGAAAAGACCAGTCACAGCAACAGCTTATGAAACAGAAAATTCAGAAGTGTCAGCAGTACAATGGTACAACTACTACAGAGATGTTTCCTCCTGGAAAATGAACACCCTAACTCAAGTTCTCGTAGGAGTCGGCATAATCGTCCATATTGATGAGACTGTATTAATAAAAAGGAAATATAACCGCGGGAGATTACAAGCCAACCAGCGGTGGACATTGAGTATCTACGACACAACACTACGAAAAGGGTGTATAGAGGTGATTCCCAATCGCAGTGCAGCTGTATTATTGCCTATTATTCAGCGTTTGGTGCTGTCTGGGACGACTATTCACACAGATGAATGGAGCGGCTATCGCCAATTATCGAATCATGAGTACATTCATCATGTTGTAAATCACACGGACGGTTTCCGGAATCCTTTGGATGAAACCCACACTAATTCCATCGAAAGTTTTTGGAGTCGTCTAAAAAGACGGATTAGAGCGGTTAATGGATCAAGAAATCCCATGATTTACAGTTATCTGGATGAATTTATGTACAGAAACTGGTTTAATATGACTATGAAGACTCCTCTGGGAGGTTTGTTTGCAACATATACGCGAGCGCTATCCTTTGTAACTGTTTATTATGATTGCATTACTTCTGTATAAACCGTTTTTTACAATTATGCGCCGTTTTTCAGCCTTCTCATTGGTCAAAGTTGTTCTTGGCAAGGTCATTTTTGCGTTCAAAGGTCGTTTCGGTTTAGGCTGCTATTCTTTAGAGTCACCGAAGCGGTTTCAGATATCCTACTTTGGTCCTAATAGAAAGTTATTATGCTTAGAGACATGAAAGTGTCATGATGTAACTCCAGCTTGCTTTCCAATATTGAACTGTTTCCTATGAAGGTCGGAGGATTATGTCAGGTTGGATCAGTTGCAGTTGAGATGTTTTGATAAACGTGTCAGAACAGTTACAATCTCAGTAAGAATACTTAGTGCACGAAGGGTTATGGGAAGTGAGTCAACTATTCCAGAATAATTTTCCTTCGGTAATATTAAAATGAGTGACACTAAACATTTGAATCTAAATCTGAATACAGCGGCCCAAAATGAAACTACCTATAGCTACCATTCAGATAAGTAAGAAATTGAAGTGCGTAATTTTAGACAAACGTCTATATGCAAATAATGCAATGTTGAAAAATGATTACACAAAAAAATATTCTCGTATATTTTCCAAGAAAACCTTCCGATTTTTTACAGGAGTCCTCAGAGTTAGGTCAAACCAGTTTCTGTGCAGAGATTTGTTAGAGTCATCAGTGCGTTCATTAGGTGGTTACGTTTTGGCCTGCTATAGTTTAGAGTCACATCAAAATGAGTGTAATAATACCAGCATAATTCACGTTTATCGTAAAAGCAGTTTGGATGACATCTGCAGTCAATAGACACTGTTTGTGTGGTAATATGGTTAGAGGAGTTGAATACTTAGGACAGTTATCGTCACTGTCAATACTTGGAGAACAAAGTTGGGGATCGTTTTTATGCCTTTCTCCCAATAGTTTCATAAGCTCGTATAAAAATTTATGAAATGAGCACGATAATAAATAGCTGTCTCTGCCTAACTATTACTATACTACTGCATCAATGAGAGCTTTTGTGTCTACTCAATACTGTTGTGATATAGCTTTTCTAGGACTCTTGTATACTATTGGTGCATGTAATTGTAATGAAGATATTTTGTACCAATACTATACCATAATATTTTTTTTCCCTTCACGTTCCCAGTGGAACATAGGGCTTCAAGCTAGAGGCCTGAAGTTTCTGTAGCAGTGTTTATTTTTACAGCCTCATACCCAACCTTTCCTCTTTACCAGCATTTTTCTGGCTTAGCAAGGTAAAGGAGTGAGTCTGTGGCCGGGGATCGAACCTCGGACCATGTGCATGGTCGGCGAGCGTCCTAACCGCTCTGTCACCGACGCACATAATTAGTGACCATAATTAGGCACCCTATATTCTTCTGTAGATTTTCATAAACTAATATTGTCCATGTTTTGAATCTGGTTTACGAAAGAGAAAAAATATGTAGAAGTCTAGTTATACTCAACGTCATTAATTTAGTAATCTTTGACTGAGATTGCCAGACTCTTAAATGAGTTTCATGCTGAACTCAGACGACGTATGAAGCAAGATACATGACAATTTATGTGACAAGCCGCAAGGGTCGTGCATATAAAGCCTTTCAGTGTGTTTAGAGACACTCAACCTGACACTCTTCGTATTAATAATGCTTAGTGCATAAAAAACAATAAGCTAAACATAATATATTATATTACTAACTGGGTGGAACTCTCCTTGAAGTGCATTGACCTAGTTTCACTTACCTCATCCTCAGTGTGGTGTTATTTCCTCTAGTTTTGTTCTTTCGTTTGAAGCACACTCTGAAAGATACGTGATTATGGAGATAAAAGATGGTGAATCTGACTTGTGCTTGACGAGCTTTGGCTTGCTGATGGGATGAACCAGCTTGCCCAACTATGCAGTGAGAATTCTATATTTCTGCTGTCTCTTCGTTAGCTCCAGCGTCGGTTCATTCACGAAGAAGTGGTGTTCCAGTTTTTTTTAAATTAACACTCAAAATATAACCCGGTTTCTAGAAATAAAGTGCAAATTGTTTGTTTTCTTTTTTTCTAAATACCGAAGCCCTTAACGCACATAATTGTTTTAGTGATTTGTTTTACAATTGCCAGCTTTTTTTTGAAACGAATTAATTAGTGTATTTCTGTAAGAATCAAGTGAATTTAGGTATTTAGTCCGCTAATTGTTTGTTCCATAGTCTTCCTAGAGATTTTTCATAAGTGAGGGGTTCGGGCTGTTTAACTCGTTTGCCAGTCTTAATAGTTATTGGATTAGTATCCTCTCTATCCTCGACCATCATTTGTGGATTCCTTTCTGTCACTTCATAGGAAGGATCATTGTGTACATAGGCCAGTTGTAGTCTGTCAATGCTAACACTCTCCGTGATATTACCTCGATGAATAACAAAGTGTCTTGGGTGCCTTGTTTTAACTTTGATGGGGCTGTCGTGTGGTGAACTGAGGGATTGTTGTTGCATTTTATCACATCTCATCTATATATGGAAGGAGAAATTCAAGTCCTTTGTTATGTGTACCACTCTTGATTGTTCTTGTGAGGGAGTCGGCCATAAGTTAGCTATTAATTTGCAGTTGAAGTCTGTCAACAAATGTAGCCTGGTCAAGTTTGTTATATACACCATTAGGACTAGTGAACTCGCGAGATAGTGTCAGTGTGCTTCCAAATACCATATTTGCGGCGGAACACTCTGCATCGGTTTTTATTGATGTTCGGATACCAGGTGTAATCATTGGCAGGAATTCTATCCAGTTAGTGGGACTAGGATGGGATGTCAATGCAGCCTCCAGTTGTCAATGCAAGCGTTCTATCACCCTGTTGGGTTGAGGGCAATGTGCCGTACAGCAGATTCTATGTGACTGGAGGAACTTAGATCCAAGTACGCAAATACCGTAATCGTGTTGAAATGTTTGATTTGTGAAGTGTAGTCGAAAATTTGTCATAAACATGATGTTCAGGAATTCCACTTCATGAAAAAATGTTGATGAGTAGTATTAAGTTTCTCTTGATAGATTAAGCCAGAAATGGTAATTTTATTATTCTTTTTCAGGATAGTTGAAATCATGGATATTAGGTGTATGAGACAGTGATTCACTACACCTGATCGGGGTTCATTAGATGTCTCATGTAGTGGTTTATTAGTAATATTACGGTAAAGTGGATTTTGATGCATCTGGACATATTCCAGTTGACAGAGATTTGCGAAACATTTTAAGAAGAAGTGTTCACTACCGTATTTTAAGAAAATCAAAGGAATCACGTCTAGACCGGGATTTTTCGAACTCTTGGGAGAAACTATTGTGTTTTTAGATTCATCTAAGGAAGGGTTGATAATTGCGAAAGTTTCATGACGACGTAGGCAAAAGATTTGTTGCACACTCACTCATATCATAAGTGTAGGACTGGTGATTAATCGGTTGTCTAAAAATCCTCAAATATTATAGGGTCACTGATAGTCTGGCGATTTTCTAAAATGAATGTTACATCACATTTACGAAGCATGAATCTCTTACAACGAAGCCTACAAATTACATTGTATTTATTGGCATCTTTACGACGTATAGTTGCTTTTTCGTGTACTACCTTTGTGGTGAGAGCTGGCTGTTAGTCAAAATTGGTAGACAGTAACTTACGTCAATGTTTATGTCTACGATATTGGTTGTGAGAGAAATGAGAACAAAGGCTTTGCGTAGGCGGATACAGTTAACATATATAGATGATCTGACATTCAAGAAACAGCAGCCACAAAGAGATGCAAGGACAACTTTCTGTGAGAAACAACCAATCAGAAGACTGTGATTTTCTGCTGACAATAATCTATAATGATGTACATGAAAATCTATAAATATGTGTAGATTTCCTTAATAAACAATCTATTGCCTGGCCCTTGTCTTCTGTTGTTACGTAGTGTCGTTGTTTTCTTTTGATTAAAGGTGAATATTTTTTATGTTTTCAAGAGACAAGAAGTCATTTTCGTGTGGCGCTGACTGTCAGTCCAATCTCTTAATTTCACTCATTTCTGAAGGGATAACATGTGTTACGCTTTGACTTGAATTCTGTGTGCATTTGGGAACAAGTTTGTCAAAACTTGGTGATACCGTGTGGAAAAAGGCTGGTAGAATAGTATGAAGGTCGATGTTTGCTAGGAAGGGACGGGTCCCAGTTTTGTCCTCGGATGACGTAGGTAAATCAGTACGTCTCACCTGTCTTTCCTGAAGGACATGACTCTTTCGCATAGAGTAGAGAGTTTTGGTGAGTGAAGCTGAGTGTTGAAGGGGACGTTAAAGTGTTTTAGCCACTACTTCCTAGGAATGGGTGACTGGCGTGTTTGTTGGATAGGGAGATGGTTCGCAAAGTAGTTACATCCGATGACATTGTGATCTCGAACTAGCTTCAGAATATTTGTTCCCACCCACACACTGTACTGCATCTAGGGATCTATTGTGACCGGTTAGGAGCACTGATCGTTTCCCAGGAGACTTGAGGTGCGTTGAAATCATCTTCAATGATATTAAAAGTGTGAAGTCTGATTGAGAACTGTGGTGAAGCTCTGTGGTTATTTTCCACTTAACAGTTCACTGTCATGGATAGTCGATAGATGCAGCATGATAGATGATCTTGTTGTTTAGTGACATTGAGTGCCACGCATAATGTATCACGCATATTCATGTTGGTGTCTTTGTTGTGTATAGCTCTCCAGTCAGACTTTGTATGGATAATGCATCTTCCACCAAGCCCAACCTCTCTTGTTCTCAGAAGAATGGATGGTTTCTACAGTGAAATAAATTATCATTTAGTTCAGGTGTGCATCAAGCGTCAGCGATCATTAGTGTTATAGGCTAGCTGATTGCCGGTTGGGATTTGATCTATGTCGCTTTGTTTACATCGGACCTAGTATTAATAAGAACTGCATCAAGATTGGTCGGCTGAATGATGTGGAGATAGTTGTGTCCCTTCTTAAAGCAGCCGATGACGTTATGAGATGGATTCTTTTTGTTCTAAAGCTATGATGTGGTGTATGTGTCTATAGAAGCTCCAGGTAAAGGGTCAGTAATATTTACGTAAGTATTGGGGCGTGAGCAAGATTGACTGTTTGAAGGAAAAGGAGGCAAAGATTTTTTGTTCATGAATTGGAGTATCTGTGTAGTGAAGAGGGAACCATCAGCCAGTAATTAGTCATCGGTGTGTCAGCTAGCCCGTCTATTCTGAAGTTAGAAAGCAGTTGAGAGTGGTAAGTAGATGTTGTATCTTGGTAGTGAATTTGTGTACTTGAATAAAAGATGCTAGTGTAGTTACAGCGAAGTTGGCGACGACAAGATGCGTCGTCATTTTGGAAGTAGGGCATGTAAAACTAGGTGGAGGTGGCCCACCTACCAAGCAAGCTAAACTGGTTTGAGTGATTGTATCTAGTGTTTAGACTGTGTTGGCGGTCTATGCTCAAGTCTCTTAGTCTTCTCATTTATGATGGTGTGAAAGCCCTCTCTGTTCTAGACAGACAGATATGAATAAGTTGACTGAGGTTTTGCTATCCGGGTTGTGTGTAGGCATTACATGTGAGAATATTCATCTCTGTAGAGGAGTGTGAAATGAGGATAGTCGCTTCCGATTTACATTTAGAGTACCATTGAGAACCAGGAAGTACTTGAAAGGTGTTTCATCTCAGTGTGTGTGTCGTTGACAGTGGGAACCCCCTGAGGTTCGAACTCAGCATCTTCCGTTTCCAGTGGAAGCTATTATACCGTTCAGAGTGTGCTGCTTTGACTCTAGTGCCAGCCACTGAATTCCAACTTCGACCAATTCGTGGTGCATTGAGCGCAACCAGTCAGCAATGTCATTAGCGAGAAATGCGTTCTTACTCCTGACAGACGGTTTTCCAGCTGAAATCAATCCACAGTCAAAATCAAAAACGGTATTTATTGTTTGGTCCACAGAATCAGTGTAATTGTTTTAATGTTTTCAGCAAACGGGAAGCTTTGT